AATGAATTGAAATACTTTTTTTTACAATGCAATCAAATATTAAAGTTCTATTCAATATATTTCAAATAAAATGTCTGTGTTTAGAGAAGTTAGAATTAAAATAATTTTACTGATGGGGTCAAGTTCAAGTTAGCTACTATTGTAAAATGAAAGGTGCAAGTCGAATTCGGCACAAGCACATAAACTAAACATTGCATCTGGCTACATGTTCCAACGATTTTGAGAAACCAATATTATCGAAAAGTCATGACCCTAGAGTAATTACTGAATAAAAAGTCAATGAAGTTAAGGATGCGTCGAAGAAGGAGTCAGGATCAAGTACTCAGTCCATTTCACAAGCTTTCCCATTATCACCAATCGAATTATGATGGAACATCTCTTATTAAAACCGCACACGATACAATTTGTTCAATAGTTCTATGAAGACAAGTTACATACACTGAACATTTAATCCTGATTCATTTTTATCAGCGCCATTAACTTCAATGACTTTTTCGTCAGTAATTACTCTGCGGTTATTAATTTTCAACAGTACTAGTTTCGCAAAATGATTGGCATGTGTGGCTAATACAATATTTAGTTGGCGTACCTTTTCTGAATTAATTATCTAGTCACTGTTTTATAATGTTGACTTATTCGAATTTGACGATGAGTAACTTCTTTAGTTGTAGACATTTCATCTGAATAAAACTTTCTTGAATATGTGATTAAACTATAAAAAAAAATATTCAAGACTTTTAGAAAACCCTGTATTTATAGTATGTGTTCTTAATTGAATTTCTATTTTCAACTTCCAACTTTCGAATCATTTAATCTTTTCTATTTTTCTTAGCATTCTATATTTCGATGCATTAATTCTCATTCCAAATCTCATTTTTCTGTTATTTATTATTATCAAATGGATTCGAACACGAACTAAATTAAATACAAATAAGCCATTATTACTGAGTGTTACTTGCTTACTTCTTCTTGTTACATTAACCAATATATTGCGATGTGTATTTGTAATGACATTTCCTGACAATGCATTCACTTCACAAGAAATTATTGTTAAAGTAATACAACAGAAAAGAATTTCTATTGTTTTGTTTTCGGATAAATATCTTCCTTTTTTTTAGATTCTTTGGTTATGTATTCGATTTATACTTTTATTGACAGAATTAAGTGTTCTTCTTTTTGGTATTTGTTTTGGTAAATTTTAAAATAATTAAAACGAAATTTCTTAGTAATGTATGTCTTTTAGGACGTTCGAATTCTAATCGTCCATCGATTAAAACATTAAAAGTATTAATTATTTCGTTTATGTTTGCATCAATTTATATAACTATACAAGTAAAATTTCTTTCTTTTTGATTTAAAAACTAACTTGTTTTCTTAAAGGCTGTACTAGAATTTCGTGGTGATACTCGACCAATAAAATTTCAAACAAGTGATTATCATCTTTATTCGTATGGTGGCATGAAATTTTTGCTTATATCAAGTTCTATTTTTCTTAGTGTAATTTTATTGAAAATATTTTTAAATATTTTTAAATTTTATTATTTTAATTAGATGTATATAATTGTATTTTTTTTACCGTGCTTATGTCATCGACATAAAAAATATCTACCGAGTAAAATATTAAATAATAACTCATTACCTTGAAAAGACTGACTATTTTTATTTAGTTCGTCGATCATTTTATTTGTATTGTTTTGTTTTGGCATTGATTAATATGATACAAATCATTGGTACTATATTAAATTTAACAGACGCTACAATAAATAGCATATGGTACGTTAATTTATTCTTATTTCAATAATTAAGAAAATGTTGAATTATTTCAACATACGAAATGGTTTTCTAAAGCTAACTGACTTTATCAATGTGACATTCTCGAACATAGTAAAACAGTGCGTTGCTTATTTATGAACGATATTGTTATAACTTAAGCTTCTCTATCCTTCAAAACCGATACTAGCCTATGAACATTCAAATTGGATGAAACTTTTAGCTCCATAATATGATATTTTCATGAGGTATTAGCAAGAGTATCCCGAGCGAAGGTCAGCCTCTCGATCTTCTCCCCTCCCCCCCCTCCCCCCTTAAGCTTGAAAAGTCATCGTTTTTCTCCAGCGGAGTTCCAGTGCTTTATTGCTCACCAGCTCCTGAAAAATTTTTCGAACGCTCTCCTCTCTTCAATTCTGTTGACTTCGGGGAAACTCTGGATATTCATTAGACAAGGTTGAAATATCACTAATGTGACTACCCTGCATTTTTCATAGGCCTTTATTCTAAACTAATATTTTATTTTTTCTTTGTTGGAACAAACCTTTTTGTTATCTTTAGTTTTTAACAAACAAGTAAGAATTTTAAAAAAAATCTTCTGTCAAATTCTACATCCTGATATGCTCTATCAAACAAAAGAAAAAGAAAATATATAGAATCAAGATCTAAAGAAACTTTCAGCCAGCTAAATGATCTATTTTTGCCCCTTGTTTGATGAATATCTCAATTGATATTTCATATGATTTCACAATTCCTGACAGGAAATCAGTTTTGAAGATCAAGACGCGCTTAATGAAAAACCAGCAAAACTTTGTGATATATTGGTACTGTTTAAGCCTTTCTAGTAAGTTGAATAACCTTGATTATAAATAGCCACAACGGAAATTTAAACAATTTCACTAACGACATTTGACGGAAATTCTCCTTTTACAATCTACTCAATTAGACTTTGAAAAGAAAATTACATAATATCATTTATTTCTTCCTTGTTCGAGTACATTATTACATGCTAGATAATCATGGAATAAAGGTAAACTTTCAAGGATGCACAAAAACTAGAAACAGTTTTAAAGAATGATAACTATAAACACTGACTATGCGAATAAAACATTGAATAAGATTTCTTCTCAATAGATCATAAATATAATTAGCCTTCAAATGAGCTGACAACCATCATATTTAAAAAATAAAAAAAAAACAGTTTATGGAATTTTATACAAAAGATAATGAAACAGACATAAGAATTGATATATTGGAGTATCATTGATTGAAATAAATATTTTAATTAAGTACATGGCATGAAAATGATTCTTTTATCAAAATCAATAAAATAAAATTAATGAAAATGTTCATTTTAATCAATCAATTTGAAATACATCGATTGTCATGTTTGTTTCATCATTTTAATGGATTTTTTAAGTCCCTGGATAACATGAATATAAAATAGAAACAAAAGAAGAATCTTTATAATAGAAAAGAAAAAATAAGACTTAATAACTTTTCTATCATATAATATGCGTGTAATACTCATGATTAAATTATATATACATAATGGCTTTAAAAGACAATTAATCTCATCTTATTATCGTTCAAAAGCCGATGGAATAATCCCTGAACACTAATATTATTGTCTAATCTAATAATCAAGAATTGATCGAAAAAGACTAAGAGCTGTTTTTTTTCCAGATTTTTTTCTTCCGGATAGGTGACATAAGACTTCGGGAGGTTACTAACACCTATTATTGAGAGCACAGATGCATAGTATGTGGTATAATAATCACAAACTCCGGGAGAGTGAACTTGATTTTCGAAATAGTGCCGCCACCACGCTGGATAAACCACTGACTAAGAGTACTTTTAAAAATTAAGAAAATTAATCAAAACAAGTCTCTTTTTTTCTTCTTTGCAGTATTGTCGACGGCACAACATTTACGTTTTACATATGTTTTGCTCCATTTGTTTATTATCAATTTCTTCGACGAGCTTTAAGGTAGTTGATTTTTTTTTGAATGATGTCTGTTTTATCTCTCAAATTTCTTGTTCTTAGGTCAAATGTACTTATTCCAAGAATAATATATGCTGATTCAACAATAAATGATGATGAAGATGATGATCTTATTGATCCTGGTGTTAATACATTAATTGATAATTCAACAAATGATAGACTTGATGGTCAATTTGACGATATAACATCCTCCACAAGAATAATTCATCCAGTTATATAAAAAAAATTCAATATTTATAAGGATCTAATTATTTTTTTTTCTTTTCGATATTTCTTCAATGTAATTATTCGATTATTATTTTTTTCTTAAATAAAGAAAAGAAAGTTACAATGGTGGTGCACAACAGAATTTACGAGAACGAAATAACCACGTTGGAAAACGATCATTTTCATTCAGATCTATAGAAAAAATAAAATAAAATAAAATTTAAAAATAAATAGTTTTCGTTTTTTTTTTGTTACCAGTTTCGTCACTATCCGGTGCAACGTCATAAATACCATGAGGAAAGTGTCGAAGACGATCGTGTAACTAAATAAAATTTTGACCATAGAACGAAATTTTTTTCTTTTACTTTAAAGAAATTTACCCATGGACGATTGCTCACCGATGATGGATATGTATGAGCAATAGATAAACAAACGATGATAAATATGAGAAAGCGTAGGAACCAGGTCAACATGATTATCTTCGATGTGAATCGGTCTTAAGATTGTGATGAAATGTCGATTAATATGAGAGAAAAAAAAGAAAATGAAGGCTTAACTTGCTTCTAATGTCTTTTTAGAGAAAAAAAAAGAAGGAGTTTCTTTTTTCTTTTTTTCTTTTTACATCAACCAATACATACCGGACATCAAAGCCATAGGAGACTCTCGAGAAAATTGCTGTCAAATCATTTTCTAATGCGTTGGTAGAAAACAATTTCTCTTTTGTTTCGATTACAATCGTAAAAAAAGAGAAAAATAAACTTATTGTTTTGCTTACTTTGTTTCCTTGTTCTCAATTGATGATCGGTCGACTCGGATCGGATCCGAACAATTACTCAACATCGAGGCGAGAACCTAACAAACGACATATGATAATATGGAACAATAAAAGAAAAAAAATAAACATTATTTTTCTGAACACTTCATTCAATTGAGTATATTAGTTTTTCCGGTGATATACTTCTATGATTTCGTTATTATCCAATAAAAAATCGAATTTTATTTACAGAAATTCGAAAGACGTTTATCTGCTTTTTTCTGGCGTAGCTTTATCAAAATGAAATGTAACAAAATGTGGTAAATTAAAAAGACAACGACTTTTAGAAAAAATTTTAAAAAATGAAAAACCCGAATCTTCTTCATCATCTGCTGTGTCATCTAATGTTAATTGTGTTATTGTCATTTCCTTATATGATTGTTGATGTGGATGAGTTATTGACATAGAACATGTTGTTTCAAAATCTTGAAATATAAAAATTAAATTATTTAACAAAATGAAATTCAATTTTACTTTTTAATTTTTCTGACAAATCTATTCTTCCACAAGCTGATAAAGCTTCAATAAGACAAGTAAAAATTTGTCCATTATCAATTAAATGTTCAAATATTTGAAGTGTATTTTCAATACTATTTGATTCTCTTAAACGTCTTGGTATATGTTTTCCAAGAACAAATTGTAATCGACATCGGTCAACATCAGATAAATCATCCAATAGAAGTAATAGAAACTGTCGAAATTTCATATCCATTTTGTCAAATTTGTACATTATTAAATCGATAGAAGAAAAAAGATCGATAATGAGAAACCAAACCAACATATTCACTTTTTTTTTATAGAACTTTGCCTTACATAGGAAGAATTTTCACCTTGAAAAAAGGGATACATCCAACTTCATCGTTTCGAGTAGAGATTATTTTTTTACTTCCAATATTTGATGAAGAAAACGAAAAAGGACAACAATAATACTGCTTCATATTCTAAAGAAAATATGATTGATATAATGCTTGAATAGTTGTCTTCACCATAAAAAATTTATTATTTAAATTTTTACATAATTTTTATTTTCTTATAGTAAGATGAATGCTAAGTTTATAACTGAAATAATAGAATTTTATAATATCGAAATCTTATTGCTTATCAAAAGATAAGTGTAATCCAATCGATTTTTTATAATTTTTCCTCTCAAAGAAGTCTTACAAAATTACCATTACACTTAAATAGGAATAAACGAATTTGTGTTAGTTTTGATTAATCATAGTTTCTGTCAATAATTTGTTCATTCTCTCATTACGTTATTATCTTTTTAAGATTTGCACGAGAATTCAATATTTTGTCAGAATAGGAAATTCAATATTCAGTATTCAATAGAAATTATATTCAATTATAACAAAACTATATAAGATTATGATTATGAAAATTTACCATAAAAAGTTTGCCAGACATCTCAGACAAATAAACACATGTCCTACATCATGCATAAGAAAGGTGACTTTTAGCAATGGAGTCAACTTGTTCTGGTTTTTTCTAATTGAATACATAAATGGTAATATTTAATAAGATTTCGATGTAAACCTTTATTGTCAGATCTTGAATATTATATAATCACACAGCAACACTGGATTGTCATGTGTTTTTTTTATTGTGTCGAACAATGTCTTTTTATTTTTATGGTGAAGCCACAGACGAACGATAACAAGAGCAAAACTGAAGACAAATACAACATAAACCGGTCTAATACAAGCATGAACAGAAGAAAGAAAAGTACTGAATATGTATCGCATTGAATGATGTCATTCAAATAGACCTATGTGAATTTTTTTTTGTTTAAAATTTATTTTTTGATTATGTATTCCCTGCACTGAGAATTTTAAAGAATCGAACAAATTTTGCCACAAAAAAATTGATGACAAAATACCAAAGGTTTCTTGCTGTCGGTCGTTTTGATATAAATATTCTCCATAGAAGAACAAGAATAATTGTATTGAATGCCCAACGTATATTTCTTAAATTATTTAAATGTTTTTGTGCACCATTTAAACATTTCATATCTTCATTTAAAACATAACGTTTTGTACCAATTAAATACGATTCAATATATGTTGGCCAATGTAAAGCACGTATATCAAAATTAAATTCATTAATATTATTTGTTTCATTAACTAATTGTCTTAAAGAATTTAAATTATCATATGAACATTGAATTTCACCACGAATTATAAATGATTCAAGACCAAGAAGTATTCGATGTAAATTTTTATATAAATCAACAACATGTGCTTTTCGACCTATTAAACGTAAACCAATATCAGCTAAATATGCTGGAATAAGATGTGAAAAAAATACGTATGAATCATGTATTAAACTATGACTTGTTACAGATAAATTAGGACGACGAAATGCATGTTCATATGGTATACGTTTTGAGTATTCAATAAAATAATTACTCATCTCATGCCAATGAAATGGATTAAGACCACTTGATGTGCAATGATAAATAGTTAAATTTTGTTTTTTTTCTTCAAAACATTTTTCCCATGTTGCAGTAATTAATAAATTAACAGGTATATCAACTGGTACAATATCAAGTATATCATGTGAATCACCCTTCATGGAACGTAAATAACCACGACCAGCAGCAGCAAATAATTCACTTGGTCCATTCGATTTTTCAACCCAACCAGGATATGGTTCTTTCCATGCTGCACCTATTATTGAAACTCGAATAATTGATATTGGTGGTAAACTTTGTTGTTCTCCTGATAAGACTGTTTCAGCAAGCCAATGTGAAAATGCAAATGCATTAGCTTTTGGGCCAATTAATTTCGGCGTAGCTAATGCAACCATTTCCTTATCCATCCAATCAAGAGCATCAACTAATTTTTGTGGTTCAATTGGACATGGATATATACATTCATCAATGAATGGACAATCTAAATAGAATATTATATTAGAAAATTAGCAAAAAACAATTCCTCTTGTTTTTTTGGAGAAGAAGGTATAATCAATTTGTTGTGCATGGTAGTCGATAAGCACAGCCCATCGGATTCTTTTTTATTAGTGCTGCATTGAAGTTCAATTATTCAGAGGATTATATGAAACTAGACCCTCAGTCTCGGTTTCAAAACAAATGTAGCAGACATAGTACATAGTAGTTAGTTCTGTGCAATAGAGGATGCTGATAAAAAAGCAGATAAGTGATCTACGTAACACTTATGAGGACGTGTATGATTGTTCCACTGCATCCAGTTTCGAATGTAACTATTAGGTCTACCGCGAGGTAGAGCGTCAATAAATGGAGTTTCTTCGATGTGCATATGTAGATACATCGGCATCACCTTTGAGAGAATATAAAATTCGAAAAGTTCAGGTGATATTGAGCCCATCGGATTGATACTAGGTGTGGATCTGAAATTTTTCTATAAACTTGGTTCGAAAACTTTGAATCCAACAAGCTCTAGTCGTTTGAGATATTTGTATGATGCGCTCGTAACCGAATACAAAAAACCGGAAAAAATATCTCGTATCTTTGAGGCAACCATCTACTTCAGATTATAAAATGTCATTAAGAGACTCAAAGTACGTGTCGACCTCTTTCAGATCCGGTTTCCAAAATATTCAATATATCGGGCTCGAAAGTGTTGGAACCGGCGAACTCTATCCATAAATAGCTTTACGATCAGAGAATTGAATATCTGCACTCTGTCCCGCTCTATGAGACACAGATGAAATTGGTTCAAGTTTTTCAAAATTTTAACCTAACCGAAATCGAAGTTGATTTGGGATAGTGCGAACCGAACTGATCTCGCCTCTAATATGGAAGTCATTTTATATTCCATGATAGAAGAAACTTCAGAGTTTTTTTCTCCATAAGAACTTTATGATTTTACAGGTCATGACATGAATCTAAAATGTCGACATCTCTATAGAAGCAAGCATCAGTAAGGATAACCAAAGTAACTCTCACTTCACTTAATTTCACTTAAAAGAACAAATACTAATATCGACAGCAAGAGGTAAAAACAAATAATTATGTCGTACATAACGAAACGCACAATCGAATGTTAGGAGCATCTTCAACACTGTCAAATATAGAAACTCATCATTGAAGTTAATGAATAGTATTATACAGCAATATTTATAAATGTTATTCTTGTCGAGAAAAATTCTGCAGCCTTTCCCATCATGGAAAAAGAATTCGGCTTGTAGAGTGTAACAGAGTAGCGTTATTTAACTTTTTTATCGCATAGCTACTTATAAACCATCCTGTACTTTTATGAATCTTTCTATTGACAAAAAAGAAAAATGTTCACCTATATTTGCGTAAATTGATGATAAGTAAACAATTGATTTTAATTGTGTACATGTTTTTAAAAAAGTTAAAATACTTTTTAAGTCCATAACATTGGTTTGAATCATATCTTTAAGATTTTGTTCTTCAAAATCTACCGAATTATTTGCAATATAAAAGCATAAATCAATAGTATTCTGTAGATTTCTCCAAGATATTAATTCGGATTGTTTTTCTTCATTTAAATCTATTTCATTATTTGCTGTTGTTGATGATGATATTAATATATTAATATCAAATGGAATAATTTTTTCTTGAAATTTAGCATTAACACGTCTTACACGATCAAATAATTTTGTTGTATAGATTTCAGCAAATGTATCCGCTGGTGAAAGATGATGAGTAACAGTTTTTTTTGTCGGATGTATAGGGCAATAGATTTTTTCAATGTTTGGACATGAACGTAATAATTTTTCAAGTAAAACTTTTCCAGGAAATGTTGTTGAACCTAAAACTAAGATATTTTTTCCTTGATAAAAATCGGGAATATTCGATGACATGATATTAATTCAATGGATACAATGCAATCTAAAATAAAAATATTACTTAAATGATTTTTCTGATATTTAAGGGTTAAAAGACTTTTTTCTGTTAAAAAAAAACACTTTCAATAAGAGATAATAAAAAAAAGAAAATATATTACAGGTTTTTTTGTGGTTCTAAAATATTTTTTGTTATCTAGCCTTTTTCTTCCTCTGTCACTACCACCCACACAAAAAAATGTTTTTACTGTCGTTATATTTTACTGTTCTGTGACAAACTCTCGGTTGTGAATGATGTTGTTTTCTGCCATTGGTCTCTCAATCGTTCCTTCGCGCTTATCGGTATTGTCTGTTGATTCGCAATCACATGAAGTTGATTCAGCCACTGGCAGTGCAAGAAAAAGAGAAGAAAAAAAAACATGGCACATGTAACCTATCGAACGACACCATGAATGATCTCATATTTATTTCATGATGTTTTTTTCCTTATTAGAAATGGCAAATATAAAGATAAATATATTACTAATTTTCATGACTAAAGGAAATAAACATAGTAAAAAAAAATCATAAGTGATAATCCATTTTTCTTTTGTTAATACAATAATATAAACTCAACTAATTTTTGGCATTTTCGAATACGAGAACATTGCTTTCGATTGTTGTTTATCAAATATTACACTTCAGATTAAAGGTCATAATCAGTTAGAAAAAAAAAAGCCTTGAATCTTTTTAATGGAAGTAAAATTAAAAAAATATTTTCTTCTATGATGAGTTTTACTAAAACCAATGATTCCAAATTTCTATCTATTAATAAATAGCTAAAAAAATTTGTATAAATCTATTAGGAATTATTTTCTGCCATAGACAATTCTATTGATAAACATGATCGATCTCGAACTTTCTTATATTACTATCTGA